TTAATAGAGAGATGAGTGGTAAAAAATGAAGAGAGGGAAATTTCGAAAAATTACAGATAGTATGGAACCAACCCTAAAAAGCATTTTTAAAAAGGAAATTGAAATATATTGGTGCTATCTTTACTGCTATGCGTCCAACCGACTTCTATTTCTTGCTTTTTTACAGATCGACAGAGTTGTCATCGATAGCTCCGAGTACATAGTGAGATTTGGAGCTCTATTATTTTATTAGTTTTATTTTCTGATCGAACCGCTCTCTTTCCATGGACACTGTTTGTTTTCCAACTGCTCATGATTTGTTTATCCAAAAAATGATGACGTGTTCCGAGGTACTTCAAAGCCCATTTGATTTCTGCGTTTTTCAGCAGTGACGAGGAAGAGTTTTATGACGCTGATGAAGAGCTGATCGATCTGGACAAGGTGAGTGCCCTCCTGCATTTTTTAGCATTTTTGTGGCTTTTCTATATTTTACTTACAACCATCACAGTCCGAAAAGTTTCTGTAGGACTGGTAATCAAAATTGCTAGGTTGTAACTTTTCTTTGTTCTGCAACAACACAGAAATTTTGTGGAAAGTGATTATTTTTTTGAACAGTGCGGTTTGATCGCTCTTCAGCTTTGAGCTAAACGAGTCTATTTTTACCGTTTATTTTGAGATTTACATGGAAGATTATCGTTTTGTGGGGCTGCATGTATGGTTGCCATGGAATTTAACCTAATCATCTGCAGATCTTTTTTGATATTTTCTAGAAAGTTCCGCTTCATCTGGAACCTCTCCCTTAATATTGACCCTAAAATTTTCAGTTTTTTTTTTCATTTTTGATCTAGTAGTTAAGACCTTGGAGCACATGCGCCCATATGTGGGCTGCAGTCCGTGAACTAAATGGTACCTTGACTCATGTTTTGGAAATTAAGTGAATTAGTTTCCTATTTTTATCTTAATTTCAGTTTTTCCTTTGTTTTTCTTCCCGTTTCCTTCAATAAAAATTTACTCTAGGTCATTCAATAGGTTTTTGTTCCCAGTTTGTCAATAAGAGTCTTGAAAAAATTAAGGTTGCCGAATAATGTCCTTGATAAGAATTAGCGGATCTGCTTAGCCGGCCGCAAAATGCTAAAACAGCGCGTCTCTGATGTCGGTTAATCAATAATGTTAGACGGAAGGGCGCAATCCTGATGGCCGTAATGACGGACTTTATGTCGTTTGAGAAAGGCCAACAATTTCGATTTAGGTAATCTCATGAGATTTCGTATGAGAATTCTATATACAACGCGAAGAGCACGACGTCGGTAATGTTCAGCAGGAGCATGGCTCAGTACTGGTGCATCTTCTCAGCCAGGCGAGTGTGATTCGAAGTCATATGTAGTTTCATGTTTTTATTGGAAATAACCTCCAAAACGTGTTCTTCAGCAATGCTATGAAAATGAGCATTTATTTCGTGCTAACTGGAAATTTTCTTTACGTTCTTGCGATGGAAATTCGACCTCTGCGTGTATCCTCACCGTTTATCTTTTCTTGGGGAGATTTACGATGAGTGGAATAGAAAAGGGAAGGTGTGCGTCACATGCAAAAAATGATACCTGCAGCGGAAATGATCCCTGCAAAGGGTGCGCCCATGGATGCGTAGCCAACCCTAACCATGTCCAGAGCCGCCTACCGTGGTCCGGTCCCCCTCCTTCGCCGTGCTTCGTTCTTGTTTGGAAAGCGATTTCATGTTAGGCGGCCGTACTTTTTTTTTAGCTTTTCTAGGTTATTTGTCATCAATGAGAAGTTCATTTGTTTTCATGATATCCGGCTATCGGGGTTAGCACATACAAAACGAGTTCGTTCTTAGTCACCGGCTCACCAGAGCAGAAATTAAAGGAGGCTGGAAGGGTCCTGTTTTGCGATTTTGAGTGACTTTCTCCGAAATTTCCTTCAACCAATGCGCACTATGTATTACCTTTATTTTCACGTCCAATGGGCAGATTTTTAGTACCACCTGCCTCCAACGCCGCAGTAAGCGTTACTTAGTGTTGGGATAAATAAAAATCCCATGTCGATAGAGCAACTGCCCGAAGACCTATTGCTATTCCTTGAACCACTTAAAGCTGCTGCTGGATTGTGAACAAGCCAGATTAAATCATGGACGAGGCGTATACCAAAGCAGATCGGTCAGTTGAACCCAGTGACCTAATTAGTTTCATTGCTAACATGTATGAGCATGGCCAAAAAATACGTAACATTATCAAAAACAGGGCTTATGGTTAATTAGAGAGGACTTCATTGTGAATCATATGGCATGGCTCCCATCGTAGCTTTGAATTTGTTCATTAGTAATGTTTTTCATTTAGGTTAGCATTGGAATGGATCTCACGAACGTCACTACCAACTCATCTTGGAACGCGCTCTTTTGAAATGTATCGCGGATTTCTTCGCTCATCCTGACGCCTTTGTAGCCACCGTAGAATTGGAAACTCCGCAAGAAAGATTTATGTGAGTCGGAACCTTACTTTTCATTTTTACTCTGAATATTTTTTAGAATGTGCCATGTGGCTTCGAGGGTCGTCTATAATACTAGGTTTTGTTAGTCTTTCTTCGGCCTCGACTCAATTGTTATTTATACTAGCACTCTTTACTGCCTACGGCCCCTGTGGCCTCGAGCGCTGAGGGTTGCTCGTTTGACAGAAAGCGACTCTTCCTTGCAGCGCACGGAACTTTCATTCATGTGGAAACTATGGCGTTCCACGCTGATCATGGTGGACTTACGGCTTCACGCAGCAACAGTCCACGCCGCAATAAGCTTGCCTAGCATCCAACAACCCAGCCCGGGATGAGCAACACTTACGAGTAATAAATTGCTTACCATCCCAGTACTCCCCTGAGTTTAAATTTGAAGGATCTCCACGTTAAAAAAGCTGCCACCTTATTTACACAGAAAAACATCCCTTTGAAGGAATCTTTCCACGGAACAAGAGTGCGACCATTTTGTCAGTGTGTTCGTCATGACTCCGTCAGGATGTTTCCAATAGCTGTGCTCCCCGCCCCGCTCTTCTAACGGGTATTTAAGCAGCCACAGAGGCGGTGACGGGGTTCTCGTGTAGCTCTGCGCCAGCGTTAGTCCAGAGCGGCGGAAGCCGCCTGCCTGTTCTTATCTACATCCCTTGTGCTGAGACTCCACGGGCGTGGAGAAGGCAGTAATGTATGAGTAGCGGCGAAGGCAGTAATGCCCGGCGCACGAGGAGGACTAGCGCTCACCCACTACGAGCGGGAGACCCGCTTGGGAAGAGAGTAAGTAAGGGTGAAGTCGGTCAAGCTTGATGTCAAGGAAAGGGCAAATTCACATGTATACCAAATGTTAATCTGCAGACAGTCTAGGAAAGTGTGATGCTCTATGACTGTAGTAGAGAATAAAGTGTCTTTCATGCAGTGTGCTTTGGTCAAAAGAGAAACTGTTGAACCACCATTACTTTAACATCTGAGGAGTGATGCCCTCAGAATATGTGTGTTAGATTCTAGTATTCATTTGAAACGAAACGCTTATGTTCCGCTCTTTTGCCTATGCCTCGCCCCCCTCCCTCCGACACCTCATACACCTCCTAAAGTTTTTGGGTGTTTCATAGTCGTAGTTTTATAGCCTGTTCCCGTTTGAGCATTCCATTTCAGATCGGTGGTGAGGTACTACCTGAATGCCTTCTATGCTGCGAGGAAAAGTGGTGTAGCAAAGAAGCCGTACAATCCTATTCTTGGAGAGACCTTCCGTTGCCGGTTAGTGTACTGTATCTTCATTTTTTAGCTCTATCTTTGTTTCGTTTTTAAATGTAAACATGTTCGAAACCAATTTAAGTCAATATCTCACTTATAGAATATGTTCTTTGCCAAAGATTCTAGCAATTCGGAATAATTTCCTCAGCTCTGATTGAGTCCAGTCAAAAGAGACACTTCGAAGCGATGGAATACGCGGCTACGTTTAGCTGCGATTTTTCCATCGATAATTTTATTACTTATAGTTACAAACTACCCGACGAAAATTCCAGCTATAACCTACCAGACGCTTCACCAAGTGGTGAGAAGACAGATAGCGGTCCTTTTCCTGGCTCGGATATAAACCAGCTGACGTTTATCGCCGAACAGGTCAGAGAAATTTCTTAGGCAAATTTTTTTTTGTTTATTTTTGTCAACAAATGTTTGCTATGGTTTAGGTAAGCCATCATCCTCCAGTTTCCGCGTTCTATGCTGAACATCCGGCGAAACGGATATCTTTCAATGCACATATCTATACGAAGTCATCGTTCTTAGGATTATCGATTGGTAAAGGCCTTACTTCTTGTGTATTTTTGCTTTTGTTTTTTGTTTGTTTTCCTTGTAAATAGATGGCTGCAATGAAACTCAATTGATAACCAAATTGACTATTTTTTTATTTATTTTTCTTTTGATTAAGGTGTTGCCAATATCGGTAGCGGTACAGTTATACTGCACGACTTTGACGAACGCTATACTGTAACGTTTCCGAGCGGGTATGGCCGTTCTATTATGAGCACTCCTTGGGTTGAACTCGGTGGTAAGGTGAGTTGTGATTAGGATAGTGATTTTATTTTGCTCTTACATTTTTTCCAACAGAAAGATATGTGTTACAGGTGAAAATAGTGTGCGAAAA